GGGGGTAGGTGCCATCTGTCACCCCAGGTCCAGCTCTCTGAACCTACCAGTCCAGGTCCAGGCCTGTCATCCCCTCCACTCAAACTTGAAAGACCCTCCCTAGAGAGAACTCCAGGGCTGGTCAACACTCCTTATGACCACCTCCCTCTTTGCTGCTCTTGTACTTGTAGGTGGGAACTGGAGAGGGCTCTGGAACTACAGTTTCCCTATGGTTATTTCCCAGGTAACCAAAGATCTCCAGGAAAGTGTACCAATCCTGGCTGCCCACTGCAGATGATACTGACAACGTTTACACATTTCTTGGAAGCAAATAAAGTTCTGGTGAAGCATATCAGAAAAAAAATCAGAAGCCTGAACAGTCAAACTTTGGAGGTTCTCAAAGTGAAGCTAATTTCAGTGTCTGAAAAATGCAGTGAAGAATTCTAAAACAGAGAGGTTTAGCGGGGAAAGAACACCCCGTGCCAACCCTAAGAGCATGCGGACATTTGACATTTTCCCTGAACACAACTTTACAAAAGAGAAGACGATACATTTCATTATACGTATTTGTTTTTACCTGCAAGAAGCTGACCGTGGAGATTAGAAATGAATTTAAAATCTTATGTGAAAAAAGTGACAAAGTGAACTTAAAACTCTCAGGATGGAAAGGGGGCCTCTAAAATGATCCGTCTGCTCCCTGACACGCTCAGAAGATATCATTTTCATTAAGTTTTATGAGTGAGTGGGAATCGGGGTGCTGCCCGCGCTCTGGCCTGGCTCAGCTCCGAGCTCTTTGAAGGTCGTCGCCTCACTGTCACTTCGGAGTACCAGAGCTCGGAATCCAGGCCAAGCAGCGTGGCCGACACCGTGCCCAACAGGCACCCTTCTGGACCCCAAGGGTTCCCCGCAGGTGCGGCCGTTGCAGGAGGAGGGCTGCCTGTCCCCCTAAGGGTCCCGGCGCCCCGCCACTGCCGCCGCTACTGTATCGCGCGCCGACACTCCCGGAACACTCCCGTCCGTCCCCATCCCCCGGGCCTGACGCGCCCGAGGCACGAGTAAGCGGACCCCAGGCTTACCCGCAAGAGGCGCACGGAGCGCGGTCCGGGGGGCCTCCGGCGCTGGGCTACCCCGGCACTCAGCTCTCCCGACTGCCTCCTCCGCCTTATCCTCGGCCTGGCCCCCGCCGCCCGGCGGCTCCGGGTCCCTCCGCTGCAGCCGGCCGGGCGGCACCGGGCACACGCGGCCGAGCTCCGCTTCGGCGCCGCCGACCGGGCGCTCCCGGGATCCGGGTCCGGGGTTGCGGGACGCAGAGGTCGTCTGAGCGCTCAAGACTCTTGGGGGCGCAGGGGCTGAGCTCGGCTCCCCCGCGCTCCCTTCGGCGCGCGGCCCCTCTCCAGGGGACGCCCTGGTCGCGGCGCGCGGGCGTCACGGGCTGGGAGCGCGCAGGGGCGGCGGGCGGGAGGGTCCCGGGGCGGCGGGCGGGGGCGCTACTGCGGACGCGGGCACTGATGTGGGCGCCGCGACGCGGCCTCTCGCCATGGCTCCCCCGCGAGCGGGCGGTTCGCACCTCCCCTCCGCGCTGCCGTCACTGCCCGGCGCGCGCCGAGCCCTCCCCTCTCCCGGCTCCGCCCGCCGCCGCCCAGCGCCGCCACCTGCGGGCGGCCCTCCAGGATGCCCGCCGGGCACGTCGGAGCGCCAGAAGCCGCGCCCCTCTTACCTCTCCAGCAGCGGATCGCGGCCGCACCAGCAGTTTTGCCGACGCCGCGGGGCACGGAGAAGGACCCGGGAAATCCTTGGATCCGGAAAGCTAATCACATCCCTCCGCGAGTGCTTATTGACTTCTAGCACTTCTGGGTGTCCTTTCAGTGTCAGCTGAGGGAAGGATGGCTCTCTGGCGGCCAGGTCCCGCGCTCCAGGGCTGTTTGTTGAGAATGCCGTGGAAGTCCAGGCGCTCGGTTCCTCAGGGCAGGCTGTCTTTCGGGAAAGCAACCCTTATGCTTAAACGAGGGAGTCTGGAACCCGGGGAGGGGGCGATGGAACCAGTAGTCTGAGCAAATTTCACCAAAGGGTGACGCAGGGGGTGGTGGGGTGGACCAAAAGCGGGGATCAGGAAACGATCCAGGAAGTAAGCGCTTACAGGCCACTCTATTATGCAAATTACTTGTGGACGGTTTAACGGGGAACTACCTTATGAGCTCATTTCCAGTTGAGGCTGCTGAGTCTACTTCTTGACCTTGTCTTTCCTCAGAAGTCATAGAGGACATTGGGAGGCTTTGGAGTAGACTCAGACTAGAATCAAAAGTGCAAGGAAGCTAAATCCTACAAAATCAAGTTTCTGATACTAGCGGAGGATTTGAAGAGATCATCGAGATTGGCAAGACTCGACTCATGGGTGGATGCTAAGTCTAAGGAGGAGTGTTACTGTAAAGCAGATGTTTGCCTGCTTTAATGTGTCTTCCCATAGGGGCCAGGAAGACCCCACCTTGACCAGGTAATCAAAATTAACATCAGCAGTGAAAGGAGATGAATATCATGTCCACATCGGGCAGTATTCTTGAGGAGAATGCATAACCTATTGTTTTTCAGCCTTTTGGCTAAGATCAAGTGTGAGAAGCATCTATTAAAGGGGGGCAGGGATTATATTCTCCAAAACTGTAGGTGTCATTAAAGTCAAAAGAAAGCTTGGTAAATGTTCCAGATTAAAGGGTGCTGAAGAGTCAAGACAGCTAAATGACATACCTAATCCTAGACTGGATGAGAGAAAATATTGTAATGGACGTTCCAATGGACAAAGTCAGAATCCCTATTGTAAAGTATTGGATCAATGTTGGGCGGCGCCTGTGGCTCAGAGGATTAGGGTGCCTATGCCGGAGGTGGCAGGTTCAAACCCAGCCCTGGCCAAAAACTGTCTCATAGTGGATCTAGAACAGACAGAGTATGAAGGATTTTAAGAAAAAATAATAAACTATTTGAAGTATTAACTGACAGATCAGTTACCTTCCAGTTATGTAATTTAGGAATCCTAAAGCTTGGAATTCTTTGAGATCATCTAGTCTAACTTCATTTTCAGGAAACTGTGGGCAGAAAACTAGTGCATAACCACAGGAGCATCAAATTAGTGGTAGACCCATAACTACAACTCTTGTCTGCTGAATATAGCCAGCTCTCTTTGCACCTTTACCAGCTGCCTGTCACTGCTTCTATTCATGAAATTCAGTCAACGCTGAATTTTGAAGTCATTCATTCATTGGAGTCCCTGTCTGTGTCCTGCAGTGCCGGATGATGCCAGATGATAGACATGTGGATCCCACCCGTGTTGCAGAAGGGCTGGTTTCCCTCTCCCTCTCCTAGCTTGAAAGGAGCAGGTGGCAAGCAGAGCCCCAGTAAGAGCCCCAGTTGTGGGCCTGCCCAAGCTCATGAGCTACTTGGAGTAGCTGCTGACCTGCTGCCACTGGAAGCCAGCAGTACAGGGACCTGGGAGGCAAGCAAGATGGGTAGACAAAAGAAAAAACAGTATTTGCCCCAGCAGGTTCCAGCCTTATCCAATGACAGGCGGAGGTCTCTGTACTAGTAGCAACCAGCTTCCCTTGGGCTACAGATAACCACTGTATTCTTTTGTCAAATCAAATCAAAATCAACATGTTTAGTGGTATTTGCCAGGCCCTAAGTTAGTTAACTGGAGAAAATATCTGATCCCTGACCTTTAGGAACCTAAAATACAGCCAGAGACCCAAGGTGGAAATGTAGGAAATAATCCAACAAAAGGAATTAAAATGCAAATTGTTTGTGTTCTCTCGGAAAGCAGCATTGGGGAAGGACCCACAGGCAAGTAGTATCTTTTGGGATGTTATCCTATGGAGTAGGGTGGAAAAAGGACTTGAGACCAGAAGGAATGAAACAGGGAGGGACGGAAAGCCCATCCACGAGTGTATAAACTCAGAGCAACTGGGGCTTAGTCCCACTGAGACCCTCTGAGGAATTGCATAGAATGCAGGATGGAAGGAAGAAACGAATATTTACCCACCAGCTCCTCTCATTGGTCAAGTGAATGCCGAGCAAAGAAGCGAACTAAGAGGATAAACACACAAAAAGGATACCTGGCTCACCAGCCTAACAGCATCCTATAGGTAGGTATTTTTACTTGTTTTATTCATTGCTGCAGTCCCAGCATGAAGAACAGTGTCTGAATCATAGATGCCTAATAAATAGATACAGAATGAATGAAATACTAATTCAGGTCAACAATCGAAAAAACAGATGCGTAAGTCATTTCTCAACAATTGTGTTAATGTATATGCCTATTTTTTTAGTATTGGACTTGGCTATGGTGAGTAAAACAAGTATATTCCTGGCTCTGGTAGACCTTTCTGTCCAGGAGAGGAGTCAGATAATGTGATACAAACACACATATTCAAGTAGCTATGAAGAAAAGCATGTAGCTGCTATCGGGAGGGTAAATGGGGGAGGGGAGTCTGTGATCGATTACTTGGTCCTGGAGGATCTGTCTAAGATAACACTTAAGCAGCGACCCAGAGGAGAACAGGAGCCCACTATGAAAGGGAGGCAGGAAAAACTCTCTATGACTAGAGCCACGGTGGAGTTTCGGGGAAGAACCAGATCGTGGGCCTTGGTAGTTTGGGTACGGCACAAGAGTTTTAGGTAAGAAAGTGATGTATTCGGCTCGGCGCCTGTGGCTCAAGCGGCTAAGGCGCCAGCCACATACACCTAAGGTGG